CCAAATGTATTCCCTGAAGGTAATCACAAGAACCATTTATTCCAACTTAACGTGATGAAATATACCGTTTAAAGTGGTACAACGCCGACGCGCACGTCATACTGCAGCCAACCTGCGTATACGCGTATTTGCGTGGCAAGAATATTGGTTTAACACCAACTGGGAATGTTGTGAAAAACAGGAAAGATCACCGAATGTTGATGAGAAAAAAACAAAAAAAAACAGCGAATTTTCAATGGTTAATTTGAGATTTATAACTTGTCAACACTGGTTCACACATAAACCATGAAAAACACGTTATCGCAAATTAGAAAATAATTGGAAAGAATATTGGACGAGATCGAGAGGTAACTCGTACATTTATAGATCTTTTACGGCTATGACACCTTGAATATACAAGTCGACAAGCCCTCAGAATGCATGTATTTATTACAGAATTCGAGTTGATTGTAAATCGCAGTATTTTTGAGATGTCAGTGTATGTCAGTGTATATATTCAGACATGTTCTTTATAGTCCCAGGGAAGGTCTACTTTAGGATCATGCAGCTAACGTGTGTAATTGTATAGATTCAAAACTAGCGGAGGAACAATTGCTAGTGACCCGAGCTCGTTATTCTTCAATCTGTTTTTTTTTTTCGTTTGATAAACATGTCGGCCATTCGAAATGTATTACATTAAACCTACTGGAATACACAAAGCGACATATGCAATGATTTTTTTACTGTGAATACACATCAAAGGAAACTAAATTATTTTATTTTTGTATGTCGCTGGTTCACATTGTATGTACGTATTTGTAATTCTACGTGTCTACGTGTCTTTTATAGTGCAAAGCAAACTGCTACGTCTAGAGAGGCCAAGCTTTCCGGTGCTTACGCTTCTTTTACAACGCTATGGAAGCTTTATATTTTTTGTCGAAAATAACGACCGTCAAGACAAACCAAGACGACACATCGCATCACGCATCCAGAACAAATTCTGTTGAAAGCGGAAGCAATAATGTAATCGCTAGATGGAGAGGAAGAAGATATTCATTTGAAGTTGATTGAGTTAAATCGTCAGTATTTGATCAAACATTTCACCACAGTAGTGACAGCTGGGATCTCGTTTTCTGTCTAAACCAGTAGAAATATATTCCCGCGCATGTACACAACACAGTACAAGCATCAGGAACAAATTCATATCACTTTCTGCTTGAATGTAAACTGGCAGCTTGGAATGAAGCAAAAGACGAATCATGGAGAATATGTGTATGTTAATAAGCTGCTTAGTATTCACAATTCGTCGTCCGCGGCTTTGTCAATTTCCCAACGTTCTCAGGGTGTTACCGATGTTATAACGCTTGCTTATGTGCCACCAATATCAATAATACAACTTTCATATATTTTTTCCTAGAACCATGGTAGTTCTGAAATCCATTGACGTGAATTGAAATCGCCTTCTATTGAAAGGATGCCTCTATTGCCAATTGGGACTTGCGTGCTTCTTTCTTGTTATCGTCGTCGGGGAATGGCTACGTAACTGTCTACATACATATAGTATCTGATAACGCGGTCAACCGTAATCTTCAACCACTTGAGTTTCGCATACAATACTGATACAGCTTATTAACAGTAGAGAGTTATAAGGTTAACCTTGCGTTTTTTTCTGAAGGGAATTCCACGGAGTGCGGACGAAACCTACAGAATTAAAATGCACGTGTCGATAATTAGACAGTTTTAGCACGTTTAGTGGCATACCATAATGATGACATGTTAGATAGGAGTCCACTAACGAAAGACAGATATTTTGCGTAATCGTACGTGGATTCTTTCTTTTACGGTATTGCAATAATAGGATCTGTTTATTTTGCCCCACGGTCGCAGTAGCAATACTGTTAATAATAACAGTACACTGTTGTCATACATATGCCTGCCATGTTGCATACATATGTCACAATGAAATGTACATCTCACGAGTTTAACAGCTATACATATAATATATACTTACACCAACATAAGTTGAATACATACTGGACAATCAACATATGATTCCTAAATGCAATAAACAACCGCCTCCAATATTCTCACTGTCAGTAGCGCTGTGCTATGTTGATGTTTGATACGAATGACGTAATACGTATGGCTTATAGCCTACCTATTACTGTATATTCGCAGACGTTAGTGCAGCTGTCGTTTATTTTTTTAGATTCTGTAATCAAGTACTCTATGTTCATTGTACTATGGTAGATTCGCATGAAGGGCACACTCGCGTACACCAGGTTTATTTTATTTTTTTAATTGGATACTAGCCGATGAATGAAGTTGTCCAATAACCGTATGTTGTACGCTGAATATGTTTACACGGTGACTTCGTAGCTGCGAAATTTAGTGAATTATACTGTTATTAATCGTTTCACGTGTGCCTGTTTGATCACATCAATCATGTTTGCAACATATGGTTACTGATTTTAGTGAATTTAATGCCACCTGCCAGTTTATTTTAAAGCACAATTCGACTGGCGTTGATATTTACTCGGCAGCATTACATACATAGATGTAAGTGCTTGTTCTTCGGAATACACATCCTTTATTTAGTTGTATATAAAAACTTGGATTTCTGTAACACGGCATCATATGTACCAGCGTGCGCACTGTTATTTTCAGCTAACGAACAGTTCATCAAATACAGTCTATACAGCATGTCGCAAGGACGGTACAAGTACCATTATACACGTGGTATATGTTACAAGTAACACGATCCCGAACATAACAACCGAGTGCGGATCTGTCACTTGACTGAAAAGACTAACTTACTAGTTAATTGTCCGAAAGTTCAAATCAAAACTAAAACGTCCATCAAGTGCAAGTGTAAACACACTTGACAGTTATGGCTACGATGTCCCAATCTGAATAGTATGTAGAATATACCAAACCCCAGTGTAAAGCTGTTGGTCATGTGTTTAACTAAACAGAACGTCTATGATTAACGACGTGGCTTCATTAGATCCGCAATATCGCCGTGGAAACCATGCTATGTATGCATCTCCCTATTATCATTTGTGTATATCATAATACATAGCACCAGTTTCTTCAATGGAGATGAACATGTTTACAAATTGAATGTATATCATTTTCAAATAATAAAGAATAAAAAAATAAAAAAAACATAATTGATCATTTGTGTCAATCTCCGAGTGAAATACGTTATATGACATAGTAACTTACGATACTAGTGTTACTAGTTAAATCTCCATGTGTACGCCATACGAAATATAATGTTACACATCAGTGTACATTATTATGTTTGTTTGTTTGGAATATTTTAAGGAAAATGCGAGAATTATTTAATTCTCATTCCGGTATTTGTATAAGCAGTGCCTTTTCAACAGCTCTTAACAATACGAATCTAACTATAGAAAAAAATAAACGTACCTGACAGTACCTGTTTTTAGTGTTTACTGCTGTTTTTGTTCACACTGCTGCTGTTTTTTTTCTCTCGTACGGACATCACATGGGATGATTACTTTGAAAACGATATAATCACGTGTATGAACGTGGATATAATTATCGACAGTTCGGCTTCGTCGTATAACAGGTAATACGTTTACAGATACCCCAGGGTCATGTGTACGGGTGTATAGTTTAGCTGTCCCGTCATAGGAACAGGTAACTTTAGATTCAGTAACTAATAAAGATTAAATAATGCAACTGCGCTATTACGTCATTATTAAGTGTTTGATTATAATGCACTTTTTTTATTTGCACAAAGCGTTTTAACGAAAATTGCGTTTCCTGTGTAGAATGCTGACACATAGAGCTCAACTAACCCAATATATATGACACGTAATTAAGCAATATCTGTTCCCATTGGAGTGCCTTTGATGGATCGTGTGCGTTTCAATCAGGGCAATTTACGCATATCCAAAAAAACACATTAAATTTGAAAATGAAATACTAACTCTAACACAGCAATTATGATTGAAGGACACATTCAGTACAAGAACTAAAGTTTGCACTCCCTTGACACTAATATATAGCAACAAGTAATATATAACATCGGTGACATTGCAGGTGCTGTGTTAAATAGGTAAATTGAACTTACGAAGTATACAAAACTTGACAGTACGTTAATATCCGGTTTGCCATTTAGAATAAAAATAAATTATAAGTACTGATTTTGTTTTCTGAAATGTTGTTTACAAGGGTTATTTGTATGCCATTACTAGCATATCAATTGACTTCACGCACTCTAATACTGCTGACAAATATGCGTGGACAACCTGTGTTTTTTTTTCCACGGAACTGCCTGAATTCCACATTGGCAAGGAAGTCGTGTCGACAATAAAAACGGAGCGACCCATCATTAATACTTGATCTAATGGAAACATTTTATTTTCATTAAAGCCTGAGTGCACACGGGAATCAGCAACGTTATTAAAATCGCACACAATCTGCCGTTTGTAATTTCGTTCCGTTTGGGTTGAGTAGTGTTTTCATGGACTGAGTGACTATTAATTGACACAATATGGTAAAAATAAGCCCAAGTAAGGTGAGCACATGCGAAAAATAACATACATCGATCCTCTTCCACTAACTGATCAGCGGGAGGTCGCAATTTGCATAAAAACCAGGCAAAGCACGTGTTGATGCCATGGCAACCACGTTTACAGGTGATGCGCTGTTACGGTCCGTATTCTCTTGACAGCACTTGTTTGGACATCCTTCAAATGTCAACAACCACAAATGTACGCCGCGATTGCTCCTCAAATAAAAGGTTTTTCGTTTGTTGTCCACATTACTCGTGTACATGTCATCTGCGTTTATTATCATCACTCACTAGAATAACAGAGAAGGTCGATGCTTTGGAGAGCATTGAACACAACACTGTTAATGACTATATAGTACCTTGTCTCTTTCTGTCATATAAATGTAAGCAGCGCTTGAGCTACATAAAAATATACGATTCCCCGGTTGATGTATAAATTAATACAGATAAGTAATAATTACGCATGTAAACATAAACAAAAAATGGTGTTTGATTTATTTTAATATCTCATTTGAGAACGAGGATAACACGATGTACTAATCCGTTCATAACAGCTGACCTACTCGCTACATGTGTCACTACGTAACAGTTGTATTACATTGTTTGGTAAATACGACAATGAGTGATGTTGAATGGCTATGCGTGATTGTGTCATTGCGGATCATAACACAAAACAACACATTGATATGTGGAAACAGTATTATCATTCATATAAAATTGTTTCTCACCTAATTTTGATTCAAAACAGGAATTCGAAAAATAAATAAATATATAACAAATTTTTCGACGAATCAACAGCCGACCGACGATCTGTATTCGTTTCTTAGAGACACATAGAGTGAGTATAGAAAAAGGAATGTTAATTTCACTATAGACTGTGTTGAGTGTTTCAAGTGGATACAGACAGGTAGTGCCTGACTCCAAACTGAAATAAGAGTGTTGCGAGGCGCCGATACTTCATAGCCTGCGATTAAGAGAAACTAGAAAATGATACTTGAATGGGGAAAAATTTATTTCAAAATAACATTACCTTTGTACGTGCAGTACGCCGCCCGTATTGTACATATAATATAACAACCTGACTCGGTGCGTATACATCACATATAGCTCGTGACAAACAGCCACACTTGATTGCAAACACGAAAATAAAACATCCACACGTCTGTGTGACAAATACAAAACTGATGGATTTACATTACCGAATCAAGTAACTTAAGAAACAAGTTAAGAAAGAAGACGTATAGATGGACCAGATATTCCTAGAATGTATATTGTCGGCAAGTAGCAAACGGTTCATTAGCGTTCTCTTGTACATATAAATGGACACTGTATACGTACCATTACTACCAGTGTACTTACACATATACGCCCTGACCTATCATGTGTAACTGAATGATATATGGTAATTGTCGTTTTTCTACAACGTTAATCGAATCATGTATAAATCGAAGAATATGCACTTATCTAGAAAGCATGTTTCCGCATTAGACAGCAGAAACATAATTGAAAGCGGATTAATAGGAAAATCGGCATATTGTTGAGAACATTCCTTAATTGTTGACTGATATAATTTTTTTTTCTTCTGAAGAACAAGTTAATATACACATATTCACACGGGCGGGCTTATCAGTTGTTTGTCTATTTCGAATTGAACGTTAACTCAGAGATGCGAACAAGAGTTCAAATTTACTATCATAGTGGTGGTTGTTTTACCAGTTTCATCTATTTGGTAATGAGTTTTACATCCATGCTCATTGGTCAATCCACTGCGTGACGCCAGTCTTTTGGACATTCGTCTCTCCCTCGACGCCTCCGCGTACTTGACTCCGCAACATATTTTAGTCAAGTTCTGGCGGAAATCTTCCCGCACGCAAGTATAGACGAGTGGGTTGAGTGCGCTGTTCAAATATTGAAAGCAGAACCCCAGTGTCCACGCAAATTCGTATGCGGACGTTGGCGTGTAGTTAGGTGCGAGCAGCAATAATTGCGTGACCCAGAAGGGCAGCCAACATATGGTGAACAAAGCAACTGCTAAAATTACGATGAGACCTACTCTGCCGAGTTTTGATGAACCGTGTCCTACTCTGCCGGGCCGAGTACCTCGAGCTAGAAACGTTAGGATTTGTATATAACACAAACAAATAACTGCGAGAGGCACCGCGAAACCGATGATAAAAGAGCATATCATGTACGTATCACCATCAACGCCCCAACTAACATAGCAGAATGTGGTCGAACCATTTCCATACTCATCTGGAACCTCGATAGCAGTCATATATACCCACAATGGAAGAGTGAGCAAAAACGATGTAATCCATAGAATGCCACAAACTAATTTAGCAACAAACACGGTTCGATATTTAATAGACCAAATGGCATGTACCACAGCAAGGTAGCGATCTACGCTCATAGCAGTCAATAGGAAAATACCTGTATACATGTTCATGCCGTCTATACTGAATATGATCTTGCACATGACTTCTCCGAGGTACCACTGACGGTCTATCGCGTACGTGTACGCTAGGAATGGTATTCCAATCATGAAGAGCAGGTCGGCCGCCGTGAGATTAAGAATATATACATCAGGAGCGGTTTTCATGCCCGAGCACCGAAGTAACACATACAGCACTATACCATTGCCGGTAAGGCCACCGACGCATATGCAGATGAACAGCGCCGGGATTAGAACAGCCTTAAACCAGTCAGGTACGTATGGAGCCACCTCAACATGGGTAATGTTTCCTGAAATGTAGACGTAGTCTGGAAACACGGTTATGTTTTCCATTTTTAGTATTGGGTCTAAACGAGCGCTTTAAACGGCGCGATAACTTATCAGTCTAGGCAGCATGCATCGTGTATCTACGACTACAGTTACTGAGTTACTACCGCTGTGGCTGTTTTATATACATATCCCATTCCAGCGAGGTGCATATTACGCATGCGCGCCTGAAACAATCATCATAACGTGAATACATGATGAGTAATCTGCTAACAATGGATCGCCAATCACAACGCAAGACAAACACTCATAACTGTAAATCAGCTCTAACATCATGACGGCCCCATTCCACTTTCAAGCGCGATATAGGAAAGACAGCTGTTGGTAGCGGGAGTTGCTGCCATAACTTGCTACTAGTACGTCTTTGCGCGATACACCCACGAGTAAAATGGTTGGCTCTGCTTTTTATCACGTACGGTGATTCTGTGGAGAAAACACAAAACACAGTGGGTGAAGACTACGTACGTATTCGTCAAATAATACATCGGGCACGTAAGTGACACTTGAGACATATAATATTGCGGATAATTGATTTTAAAACACCATCGCATGCTAATAGATCTTGGGGAAACCATGGAAAACGAACGGCTTTCTGTTGACAGTTTGTTTTCTGGGTTGGTTGTTTGAAATAGGAATAGTGTTGAGAATACGACCTGATGTGGCGGATGCCATTAGGCGTTAAGTTTAAACACACATTAGAAACGTTACTTCATTATGGCGCACAGTGTAAATTGAGGACTAATATACAACATTGTTGCAAATACGCAAAAAAAAAATCGAATGTCTTTCACAATTTCCCACAAACTATGCCATTCCATATATTAAAGAAAAATGCATTAGGTAATAGCGTATGTAGCGAAAATACAGCGACAGAGCAAATTACTCGTGAATTGTACACATATGATTACATAAACGAACACTGAATTTAAGGAAATAATACATTCACCTAGACCGACATTGCATTTTGTAATGTACAACATGTAATACATTCTTTTGAAAATGCGCATATTAAATGTTAGCAATTCACGTCCAGTGTGGTCATTGACATTTCTGTCAACAACACGATACCTTCTGTTGGCAACAAAATATTAGAGTCATACGTACATTGATGATGGTTTAATTGATACAATAAAGAAATATGATTACTATGCTGTATGACAAGAGTGCTCGCGCGGGGTTGCAACAAGGATCAAACAGTCTTGTGTTTTATCACCAACCACAAAAATTCCGCTGTAACCTATATGGTTTCCATGGAAAGGACTTCATGGCCATATAAATAAAAAAGAAAATACTACCACTGTTTTGTCGTGAACTCTTGTATTTTGTACAATCACGTTTCAGCAATATGTATGATCGTAAATCCCGATCACGTCAAACGCGTTGTGGCTACCATGTTTGTTGATTCAGTCCCCGTTTGCGGGCAACTTGTTTCATTTACAAAATACGACTCTGAGACACTTTGGAGAGTACTATCTTCGTAGGTGTTAACGCCCCGGGCAAGTGTAAATGTTTAACTATGCCTGTGATCTCGGTTACTGCATCTACAGAATATGAGGCGTCGAACGGTTTTAATTAATCACATAACGCAGTTAGTAACCGTGTAGTAGGGAGTAGGTCATGACGGTCAAATGAAGAATTTAAAAAAAAAAATAGCTTTTTTCTCTCCAAATTCAGATTTTGACTATGTTAGTACGATCACGTTTCGTCGATCTCTACTCTACCATAAAACCCGATCATGACGCGACTAACAACGAATGGATGCGTGCAGTACGCACTAGATTTTTGTATTGATTCCACCTCCGTACATTTACAATTTCGCTAATTTACAAACTTGAAGTATGCCTATCGATTGAGGAAAGATAGTGTAAATGTCTTTATCAAGAGCAAGTACAAACTACGACATTGAGATTATATCTGGTATCCTTGGTCTAGAATGAATATGACTGGACGTTTCCAGAATTTAGATCACAACAAAAAACATAAGTAGACCTATTCGAATGCCTGAAATTTTGTCTTAATTTTAACCAATTACATATGCCAGTAGATACGCCGCTAGCACGATAGCCACCTTCTGTACCTTCTCGTGTTTCTTCAAACATTAGTATTTTCCTCGGCGCAGCCCGTTTTCCGCCCCACGGTGTTCTTGTCATACAAATCTGAACATCAAGAATGATGCAATTTAAGACTCCATTAACTGTGAATTACTTCGCACCACGCAAATCAAACGAGTGAGATCACAAACATGTTGTAGCAGGTTGTACCGACTGGCGGAACAAATAAGGAGTGAGATGGTCGGGCGATGCTATTAAACTTACACAATCGCCTCGTTTAATGACATCCACAGATCACTTTTTTAAAGACGGTACTATTCATTAGCGAGTTAGTCGTCAAACGTGTTTCGCTACGTAAGAGGCGTATAAAACAAGGATGACTCGATGAAGACATAACTGGAAAACAACGAATTTTACGAGGTCACCAATTTAATATCGAGTAATGGTAATAATGTAGGTACTCTCACGTATGTTTATTAAGTATTACCATTAGTGTGGATCGATATATGCTTCGGCAATTATGTCTTCTAAGTAACAAAGTGATATTGAAGATATGTAACGTGTATTTGCGAAGAGCCCCGGGAGATTAATGATTTAATATTGCCTCATGTCTCCCCTCTCATGTTGAAATACTAAACACAAAAAAATAACGACTAATTGTTGTTGTCTCGTTATTACAACAGTCGGGAAATAATAATACAATACTGTCGGTTGGCTATAGAGCGTGATATCCGAGTTAGAACGTTCGATTTATTGTCAGTCAGCTTTATATTCCCCAGGTCAGATATATGCATATTCTTCAGCCATTAATAATAAATAAGACTGAAATTTGTTTGTGGCGTCGAAGTAAAGATAGATGTTCAACATTAATTTCCACGAACTACGCCGCGCCAGCTTTTAATTAGAGAGATGTATCGTCTATTACATCTCGAAACTATAACACAGTTAATGGACGTATGAGACACACGAAGGCGTGCGATTTGAGTTTAAGGAAGATGCTGTGGATCATGTCCCTGCGGAAAACGCAAGAAATTGGTCTTCGTCACTATTCTTGCTTGTGGTTATATGTTGTTTTTACAGTTCTCTCATTTATACTCGTATCAGAAGCGTAATGCGCAGTGGTGTGCGCAGAAATAAAATATCTCGAGGTAATCCTATCTAGAGTCGAATACTATATCTGGTGTGATTTTCAAGAAACTTAATATATCTGTTTCACCTTGGTGATTGAAAATAAGTGTATAGACTTACAATTTAACAATTTTATATTTGCCGATGCGTGGATATACAAGAGGATAAAAACCCTCGCGCAGTACTGTTGAACTGTAAAACTCAACAATCATCAATAAAGTGTGTGGGACTACGGTCACGAAGCAAGGGCCAGTGTACCGTTACAGCACGGAGGCTGTAATTAATTATATGAAAACAATTGCTTCATACTACAATAAATCCTTATTCTTACTCACGTGCGATATATACAAGCGTAATTTGTTTGTTTGTTTGAACAAAAACTGGAGAGTGCTGCGACACAACTATTGACACACGCGATAACATGTAAGACTTTTTTTTTGCGCCAGAAAGAGTACGGAAATATATATAGCACTTGCTCGTTTATTGATTCCCGGGGGAGACTCAAAACGTCTTCAGTTCAAGGACTCCCATATGACGCTTTTTCGTATAAATATGACGTCGCTGTAATTGCGTTTCGTATAACAGCTCCTTTTTCTAGCAGACATGTTTGCTCAATCCTATGTGCGCGGAGACACTTGATAGATTGTTGCACTCTCGCTGATACAAAGAACAATAAATAACCAAACGATGAGTTAGTAAGTAACGCCATAAAACACTTACAGATATATATACGGATACAGATCTTGGATCGAAAACATGGTGCAATACGGGCATAACTTGACTTATTTTTGAAGGTCCAATCAAGAAACTTTGCACACTTTAGCTTTGCGCATTCTCCTATTGTTTGAAATAATAAAAAAAATCGCCATATTATTATTTTATGAGTGTATAGTTGTTTATCAAAAGATACGATTTGATTTACAATTAATATCAAGAATATACAGTATTTTGTTTGTGACGTAAATTATTCAATATTCACAGGAACCAGTGCTTGGGGCATTACAAATATGTGTTTGTTCTACGCCTGTGACTATTAACTGTTACGGTAAGACTATATAATTCTGACATGATTCACGGTGTACCAGGAACGGTTTATGTTCTACAATTGCTAACCATAAAAACCCGTATTTAATGGCCACCAATGCCCTAGGGTGATCGTACGCATTACCGCGAGTAAGCCACTGAGATTCGTAGAAACGGGGGCTCTACGCTGGCTAAATGAGTTCATTGGGTGATCAGTGTTCGACGCGTACGTGCAGATGTGTCAGCTGGTATACGCGTGCAATATGATATGATATCGAAGGACGGCATTTCTCATTATTAAGAGCACGACTGGCAAATATTCATTAGGCTATCGGTATTTTTAGAAACATTTGTAGCAGCCCTCAAAATACCTTCACCGGAACAAAAACAAAAGCCGTGGCAACAAATGATATACTGTTAGGAGTGGAACTACGTAATTACTGGTAATATATACATATACTGTAAAGGTATAAATATTAATAATTCTTGAACTTGATATATAAGTTTATAGATTCTGATAGGAGACTAGGTTTGTTGACTATGCGTAATTCCCCTAGATGCAACATTCGCTAAACCGGTTACTAACTTCTATTATCAGAAAGGGAAATTAAACATCAGTTGTCTATCCGTTTGACTCGACGTGACGTACGTCAAGGGTGTTATGAATCGCTGCGCTTATATCCAACAAAATCGTCTTGTTTTCATGCAGATATAACGACAAGCATATTTATCTTGCGTGGCGGCATACAACTGGTCCTTCGGCTGTCATGGTGCGAATCAAAAGTATCCCTAGGGTGTATAGACGGACAACAAGACATATTTCATATGTGCAGGGGGTTGTTATTCTATTTCCGGAGCTCTGATCTGTTGTTTTGTTGTGTCA